AATATTTCTGTGATATTTGAACTATACTAGCTGATCCGGCTAATCTTTTATTACCTAACAATGAATTGAAGTCACCATCTCACTCTTAACTTAGATAAACGATCATATACAGAATGAGGACAGTTGATTTGCTCTGTTTGGTTGACAGGTTTTGTTTTGTATGTATAATAGGGGGAGCGACAATTTTAACGACTTTTCTTAATAAAAAACGACTTCAATAATTTTCGTACTTTTATTTCTCCACTTTTCTTATTTTTCAATAACAACAACTACTCATAATTCTTACCTAACAGAACTAGTGACTTCTGTAAGATGCCAACCTAGTTTTGGGCGCGAGATTTAAATAATTCAATTTATTCTTACATATTAATATTTACAATATTATGGTGCTGTTGAGTTGAATTTTAAAAGGCGAAAATTGACATTCTGTGTGGCGCATTGGAACACCGGATATAGGAAATCCCATGTAAATTTTAGAAAGAACAAATATTATCTCGGCAGATGATTTTATGCAAAAGTTATATTATACCTTCTTGAAGAGATGCTAAAGTTGCACTATCGCCTAGAATTTAGTTTTATTCAGAATCGGCATTTAAATGTTATTTGCAAAAATCTACTTTAAAATTAGTAAAATTTATTGGCCCAGAGAAAGATACAATCAAAATACCAGCAAAAATATGATTTTGTAAATGTAAAATTCGATGTTAACTTCGGGTTTGCATCTGATTCATTCTTTCGCTATTACCATTGATTGCGTTTTTCCACGGATATCTACATGTTAAAAGAATCAGCTTTATTTGTTAGTCGGTAAAGGAATCGCTCTAGATCGTCCGCGTTCTCTGCCATCAAAACTGCATCGTCTGCATAACACACAATTCCGACGGATTTCTGACCCATTTCAATCTAATGTCCAAGAGTTTTACATCTTTGATCAGCTAATCCATAATGATTTTAAAGAAGGTAGGACTGAGGCTTTCTCATTTTCTCACGCTGACAGAGCACATTTTCAGAAAGCTCGTCTTCGGTTTTAATTTTAATAGAGTTCCTAGTTTTTGGCTGCGTTATTAATCTGCAATAAGTTTCAGATACGTTGTTGTTTTTTCGGATCCTTATTACATCTGTCAGACGTACCCTCTGAAATGCCTGCTTCATATCGACAAAGCACAAAAACAATGGATTTCTGAACTCTATGGATTTCCCCACCATTTGACGCAGTATAAAGATCCCGTCCACCGTTGATCTGTTGGGTCTAAAGCCATGTCGTTCTTCGCTTACGTTTAATTGTCCACTAAGTTTTTACGTTAATATTTTAGTTGGTAGCTTAGCCATAGAGCACGAGCAGTGTTATTCGCTTTATTAGTTACGAGCATTTTTCTAACTAGCTAATTTCACTCATCGACTGTAACGACAATTTTAGGTTTAGCACTTAGCCCAATTGATATCCGTAATGACGATTAGCATATTTTTAGATAAAAACACAATTTTCTTTTTTTTGTCACTTATCCTGTTTCTTACTTACGGTTTTCAATTATTAGAAATAAACTGTCAATTATGTAATATGGCGGACCTAACCTAATTTGTTTGAATACTAATTTACTATAAATTTCTTTCCGTGAAATTTTCTTATAATATTTTAATAGTTATTCTGCTATTCAGGGCGAAGACGAATCCAACAAATCAGAGATCTTTACAGTCAGTCCAGCCGTTATTGGGTTATAAATGGTGTAACTAATTCGACTTTGTTTTATTTATATAGATATACATATTTTCATAATTTCTACTTCTTTGTATTGGATGTAGTTTTTATGAGTAGATATATTTTATGATCATCGGTATACTTTTTCGTTATAACTATAGTTTTAAGATAATCAACATTACGTTAGTTAAGTACAATAATTCTGTTTTACTTTCTATTTTTTAACAAGTTATTTTAAAATATATATTTTTTTATTTTAAAATATATATTTTTTATCTATATCATTTCTTTAGTACTGCAGGTATTTTTTTCTTTGTTATTAAAATCCTGATCAATACATAATGACTAAACTCAGTAATTATTTTGAGTTAACTTTTTGGTCTTAACTTATTAACTTTGTTAAACTTCGATTCGATAAATCAATGGAAGTTTTCCGACTTTCTCTTTGGCTTTTCTAGTTTCTGCTGTCCTGATAGAGAAATTTCCCCGAAGTTTTCCGCAGCAACTCTCCATTACGGAAAGTTATTCTATAATATACAGAGTGTCCGTGATTTTATTCAGAAAAAAAAAACAAAAAAAGAGATAGAAACTAAAATTATAAAAATACATTATATTAAGTATTCGCCAATATTATGAACACTGTTATGGACACTTTAGTTACAGGTTTTGGTTTTGACGATTATTTAATATAATTTGTTTCTATAAGTTTAATGTATATCCTTTTTGTTTGTATTTGTATTTACGTGATTTTAAGGCATTCCCCGTGACGGAGTTGAGTACAGTCAAGTTTGATATTGTCCACTGAGACCGCCAGAATTAGTTAAATGATTGACATTTTGTGGACATTTTCATACTTGGATTTCTAAAGATTTTATTGATTTTGTTTGTTAAAAACGGATTCTTTAAATTTACACTTTTTTCCAATGCAGTTTCTTGTGGACAACTCTTGCTTCCGACCACTTTAAGGTGTGCTGTTTGGACAACATAATCTTCAATATCTGATTTCATGGTTTCACCTCTCATATATGTTTCTTTGTGTTCAGTAAGTCTCAAATTAAAGATCATTTTGCCTCTGCAATAGCCTACTCACAACTATTCACAAGATATCTGGTAAATGCCAACTAAAACCTGTAAGTAAAGTGGCCATAACACTGTTTATAATCTTGGCGATTATTTAATATCATGTTCTTGTAACTTTAATTTTTATCTTTTTTCTTATATTTTCTAAACGAAATAATATTAAAATGGATTTGCTACAGAATAGTTACTAAGAAGTTCTTCTACAATATTAGATCGAATTGTGAAACAGACTCATTAGTGCGTCAGCCCAAGGAATGTGCTTTCTTTCTTCATCATAAAAGATCAGGTGAATCGCCAAACAGTATCAGATTAAAATTGTTTTTAAGTTTGAAACTGCTCTAAGAAGCGTCATAACAAAAACAAGACCAGTAACATAGAAACAAATGGGAAACAGTGCATTTGCCAGGTATCTTCTGAATGCTGTGAGTAGGATATTGGAGAGGCAAAATGACCTTTAGATGAATGACTTACCGAATATAAAAACACATACATGAGAGGTGAAACGAGAGAGAGAAAATATGGTCCGAGCATGACAACTTAAAATGGTCGGAAGCTCGAGTTGTCCACAAGAAACCCCACTGGGAAAGGTGTAAATTTAAAAAATCCATTTTAGCAAACAAAACCAGTACAATATTTAAAATGCTGGCAGTCTTAGTCAAGCTTTACTTCACCCAACTACGCCACGGGGAATATTTTAACGGTCCAATTCACGTACCGTTATTTTCTTCATTCATGGCACGCATTCCAGGAATCATACTTCTGGATTGTCCAATCCAGGAATATTGTTAAACGCTCTATAAATGTTATCCCTTTAATAACAAGTGTGTTTATAATAATAATTGTGTTTATAAAAAAGAGAACTTTAATAGAGTTATCTAATTTAAAAGGGTAAAAGTATACTACAAGAAAATATAATATTAGTGCAAACCAACGAATTAAATGCAGCCAACAATAATGGAGATCTCAAAATGTCAAATTTAGCAATAACAAAAGTAATATACAACGAACTACTGGACAGAAAATACATTCTAATAAATAATACAACACTGGAAATAGTAGAAGAATATAAATATTTGGGACAACTAATACACAGCTCGGGTTCTCTACTACCAAAAATCAACAGAATTAAGTTAGGTTAGGTTCATCAAGACTAAAACATTCGACCAATGTGTACTACCAGTCATGACCTATGCATACGAAACCTGGACATTTAAAACGAACATTATAAGGAAACTGCAGGTCGCACAACACTCAATGGAACGAAATATGCCGAGAATGACCAGAAACGACCGTAAAAGAATAGAGTGTATACGATAAAAGGCCCAGGTAATAGATGCCATCCACAGAATCAAATCCCTCAAATGGTAATGGGCAGGACACCTGGCAAGAAGAACGGAAAAACAGATGGCCACAAAAATTACAGCATGGTACCCACGACAAATTAAGAGACCTAGAGGAAGACTATACCTGAGATGGGACTATAATATTAGGAAATTAGCAGCGATAACCTGAGCCCGCATAGAGTTATGTAAATATATGAGGGAGGCTACACCATAATTGGAAATGGTTGATTAAGCTGAGAATGATGATGATGAAATTGAAAAAATAGTATTGGTCCCAAAAATTATGACTAGATGAATGGAGTCATATTTACATCTTACAAGCGATTAATAAAAGCTATACTGAATATTATTTGAAATTCTTTAGTACAATGGAATAATGGATTGCGAACTTCCCTCTCATAGTGGTACGAGGACTAAATCTTGTATTGAATGCCTTCAACGTCTCACTCCACGCGAAACTACACTTTTAGTTTTAGAGCGGAATGAAGCACTGTCACTCCAAAAGTGCCGAAAAAGTGTGCGTTATGGGCCCGCTTTACTATAGTATGTAAGCTCAATGGTTTTGGGATAAGATTAGTTCAGACTTGATAATACTACCATACCCATCGAAACTTATATGTAGCTTGTATATTGTGGCTTGTGGTGTTGTCTCGTTGAATCGTTGTCTACTGCAATCAAAGAATCTTGATAAAAAGTTTTGATTATATTGTAATTTTTTAGTCAAAATAAAATTAATTAAACAGATAATTTAATAAGTTCCAGTTTCTTGAGGTAAAGCTAATTCGAAACATTTCTTTTTGTTGCAGGTATGTCGACTCTTTTCCTAGAATATAACCAAAAAAGCACTCGGTGGTAAGTAAGGATAGAATTAATAGACGCCATTATAGAAAATATCAATCTCTTTTAATCTTATCAATTAAACGAACAACAACTTTATTAGTTAATTTATAAAGTTACAAAACGACTTACACGCTATCTTGATCGTGGCTAATAGAATTATTTACATTCGCCTTGGCTTTCGAACTATCCGTACTATCCGCGGCGGTCGCCGCCTTCAGCGCCTGTAATTCTTTCTGGCTGCGGTAATGGACGATGCCCGAGCCGAAAGCGTCACCCATTACGTTGATGGCCGTCCGGAACCTATCCCTAAAGATTAAACAAATATTTTAATCGCATAATGTAATATGATAACAAGCACGGTGTCTCATATAAGAATGTACAGGGTGGGCCAAATTGGACTAGAGATGTTACGATGGAACCGAACCTATTCCGACGGAATAAGTACAGTACATCTGCTGGATGGAAAGGAATGCGGACAAAAAACATTTAAATAAACAGCAATATATTTTATACGTCGATTTGACGAGTGCGTCACCGCAAATCGCTCCACCCACTCATTTTATTGGCTACTTGCAAATTTGTTGAATTTTTATTGATGGGACGCGTCGTCTATTTTTTTACGAAAAACATCGAGAGAATATCGTTTCCCCTCTCACGGATACCTCGTAGCTACAGAACGGACAGACGTACTGTATCAGTCGGCTATTCCATGGACCTATCACCCCAAAATCAGATGTACCTGTTACGAGTCCGCTTGTCCTTGTGACTTCGCGTGTTGGTTTACGATTCCGATTCCGAAAGCGACTGTTCCTACATGTATCGCTGGTTGCATGCATCGAAAGACTTTTACTTCAATAAAATGGCTGTTAACATTAAAAAACAGATTCAAGAAAAAATGTATGTGTTTTCTAATTGTTTATATTTTATTCAAGGCCACAGAAACAGCTTTGCTACTGTCAGTATATCAATAGGCTACACTAAGGTTTTATATTAAACAGGTTGCCTCGTAACTTTTGGACCAATAGGAGCGAAGCGGCAGCTACGTCACAGGTATGCTACAGAACGTATAAAATCATAGATAAAGGAATAAAAAATAAAATGCAATGGAGAAAGAGAGATAAATGGGCAACGTAATAAAGAAAACAAAACATAATCAAGGAAAACATATATCAAACAACTGATATCTATGGACGCCATACACAATGAATATCGATTCGAAAATGCACTGTCGGATTATGGGCAGTTTTTATCCCTTTATATATGATTGGCCGCATACCTGTGACGTAGTTGGTGACGTTTCCGATAATGGCGGATTGAGTTACGAGACAACCTTATCTTTTAATAACCTTGAGGCTACACAGGTTCAGGCAATTATGAACCAATTTTAGCAATTTGTTTATTTCCATCCAAGACAGAAAGAAAGTCTCAAACAGCATTAGTTCGTCGTCTGTTCATGACTAAATGACAATATTTTAACTTTTTTAGGTATATTATTGTAACTAGAAATAACTACTAATACTATAATACTACTAACCTAAAATAAAAAAAACTTTAAAAACGAAAATAATTTTAGAGATTGTTTCGAGTTCTGCTCTCTATCACGTTACAAAAAATAAATCGAGTAAATCGGCCAAATCCCCTAAAAACCGTTGGCTAATCGCATGCTAATCACGTTCGGCGAGAGCCGCGGAAGAATACCTATTTCGCATCTTCAATGTCAAGAATTTTTCTCGTAGAATTCATTAACTCAGTGGGGGTTAAAGATACCCTCGCATAATCGTTAAGTAGGTACTTTCAATTCTTGTCTGGAGTATAGCGAAAAATTTAAAAATAAGATCATTTAGTCTTCTTTAAAGATAAAAATACCTAGGTGTTAAGCCCGGCGGCTTCGACGGCCAACGGCTGGAACCTTCGTTAGCTATCCAGTTATTCTCGAAATTGGCTACAAAAAATTGCTGATAATTTCAACATTTTGAGGCGGTGCCTCGTCTTGCTGAAAAATATATTTTCCAGTTCCATTTGGGACAGATCATCAATAAGGGATCCAAAGCTACTAGTTGAGAGTTCAAAAATTCTGTATTTTGAAGGGGACTTGAACAAAATATTAAGTGTGCTATATTTTCGGAAAGGTAATTTTAAGTTCTTTTCAGTGAATTATGAAATATACAGAGTGTCCCAAATAAAAAATCAATTTTTACGTTGATAACTTCTAAATTATTAATTGAAAAAAAAAACAACTTAAATTTTACCATTAATTTTACGTAAAAAGGTGCTTTGGAAACGTTTTCGTAAAAATACAAACCCTGCCAGTTTCCATAGCACACAAGTTACAGGGATTTTTTAAAAATACACATTTTTGAGAAACATCCCGTGAGTTTTTACCATCATATTTTTGACAAAAATTGTGCCCCATACACTAGTATTAGTTTTCGTCTATCTCTTATAGAAAATATGGTGTTTCTCTTTAAAAGTGTCCAACCAAGACAAATGTCCACCCTGTACAGAGTGGGTCAAATTTGACGCTTTTAAATGCAAACACCCTTTCCTATAGGAGATAGACAAAAACTAGTATCGGTGTCTGGAGCTCAATTTTTGTCAAAAACATGATTGTGAAAACCGCATATCGATATGTGTTACCGTTTAGGAGTTACGGGGTGTTTTTCAAAAATATGCATTTTTAACAAATTGCTGTAACTTTTTTGCTATGGAAAATTTTGTATTTTTATTAAAACATTTCCAAAGCACCTTTTTACGTAGAATTTAATGGTTTAAGTATAATTTTTTTAAAATTAATAATTTAAGAATTATTAACAGAAAATTTGATTTTTTATATGGGACACCCTGTATATTTTTAATTTATTGAAAAGAATTTAAAATTACCTTTCCAAAAATATAACACACTTGATATTTTGCTCGATTCCTCTTCGAGATATAGAGTATATAACAATTCGCCCGCTTTAAATAAGTAGGCTTTGAACGACACCGGCCGTAATGCAAAAAAATTCTAGCTGTAAACATCAATTAAAACGAAAATAATATTTGCTATGAGAGATGCAGAATTTTATTACAATTTAAAATATATTTAACCAACATCAACACATTTAAACTATATTTAATAATAATAAAAATAAATAGTAAACCAAGACATGAGATTTTGCTACAGGTGTTCAACATATCGACAGTCTTCTGTTATGGACAGGCGGGGTAGTTTTTGAAGCATTTCTCCCGGAATTCATTAACTCAGTAGGGGTGAAAGATACCCTCTCATAACTGCTAAGTATTTCTAATTCTTGTCTAGATTATACGAAAGAATAAGGAACCTTTATTCTTCCGCAAATATATCCATAGGATTAGATCCATGGGCACTAAGTCAGGCGGCCTCGATGGCCAACGACTAGGATCTTGGTTAGCTATTCAATTATTCTTAAAATTGGCTGCAAAAATTTGCTGATAACTTCAGCGTTCAGAGGCGGTGCGTCGTCTTGTTGGAAAAATATGTTTTCGAGTTCCATTAAGGGCATATCATCAATAAGGGGTCCAAAGCCTACTAGTTAAAAGTGGCGAACTTTTAAAAATTCTGTATTTTGAAGGGGATTGTAACAAAATATCAAGTGTGCTATATTTTTAAAAAGGTAATTTTAAATTCCTTTCAGTTAAATAAAAATATAGAGGGTGTCCCAAATAAAAAATCAATTTTTCTGTTGATAACTCTTAAATTATTAATTTTAAAAAAATTATACTTAAACCATTAAATTCTACGTAAAAAGATGCTTTGGAAAAGTTTTCATAGAAATACAAAATTTTCCATAGTAAAAAAGTTACAGCGATTTGTTAAAAATGCACATTTTTGAAAAACACCTCGTAACTCCGAAACGGTAACAGATATTGATGTGCGGTTTTCACCATAATATTTTTGATGAAAATTGAGCTCCAGACACCGACATTAATTTTCGTCTATCTCCTATAGAAAAGGGTGTTTCCATTTAAAAGCGTCGAATTTGACCCACCCTGTACACTGATGGATGAATACCACTAGGTGACAAAAGTTTGATTTGATTCCAACTTAGAGGTTTTCCCCTAAATTTGGAAGTAAAAATCTTTACAGGTTTTTTTAGGGAGTAAAATTTTTGATAGCATATAAATATAAATTGGATTGGATAAAACTTGGATTATAGTTTGGTTTGGTTTGGTTTGGTTTGGATTTTTGACAATTTTGATTTGAATTTAAGGAGTTAAATTTATCTCATTCACACTATTCCCGTAGATATTTTGATACTTACAACAACCAATCTACGGCCAATATTAAACTGACGTCTTCCGCCGGTAGTCCTATGGTATCAAGCACCATTACCATAGTAACCAGACCGGCTTGTGGTATTCCTGCGGCTCCTATGCTCGCAGCGGTAGCCGTAATACTTATGGCGATAATTTTTCCGATATCCAAAGCCATTCCGCGTACCTATAAACATTCAGAATAGTACTGAGGATGAATTTACTCGACTTTCGAATGCATCGAGGCATTCTTAACTAACCTGAGCTATGTAAATAGCAGCTACGGCTTCGTATAGAGCTGTACCGTCCATGTTGATGGTGGCACCAATTGGTAATGTGAAGCGGGTGATTCTAGGGTCGATTCCCAGTTTTTCTTCCAAGCATTTGATGGTAATGGGTAAGGTGGCAGTACTGTAAAATGTTAAGAACATATAGTGACAAATATGACGTCTCAAGTATGGTGTCGATGTCGACTTTGAAAGTGACGTCGTCAATGTCGACAGCTAATAATTGGGTACAACAATTTTAGCTATAGTTAAATTAATAAGTTATATGATTAAAACTTAAAACCATAAAATGAACATTTATTAAAAACATAGAACAAACATTTTCAGCTAAGCAAAAATATAATAAAATGATCTTCTTCTTCGCTGAGTGGTTTGAATGCTGAATCATAATCAGAGATATCATAATCAAGATAGCTTTTAGTATTCTCACTTTGGAGAGTATAATAAATATTCAACTAACAGTCGAAGAGGTGTGTATATCCTTAGTTTCTGAATCAAGTCAAGTAATAAAGGCTTTTTCACCTTTTTTTAACAAGAGTTACAAATATACCTGAATATATTTTTGAAAAAATGGTGCTTATTTTGACAAGAAGGAAAAATGCATAAGGTTAAATAGTACTACTTATACATTTCAACATTTTTAATAACTCATAATTATAGACCTGAAGTCTAATCTACTGCAATTAATTGAACAAAGGGAACCAAGATACACCCGCTTGTGAAATTCACAGGATAGTCTAAGTCAAACTATATCCAAACATATCCGGAGATATGAGTAATCATTAATCAATTAAATGGGGGAGGGGAATTAATCACTCCTCTTCTAATGTCAAACCTAACCTCAAATCTGCGCCTGTGACATTCTCAACATTGTTGAGAATGTGTGTCGTGGTCTACAATCGCTGTGTCGAGGTCTACAATGAAAGTCGACACCCTGCCCTACAAAAATTGTTCTAGTATTACAGAGTCTACAAATGTTTAAGTTTTATATTCAGCATATAAATTTATTTGATCATGCAGTAGATGTATTCCGTTTAATATTAAAATATTTTAAAATTTTATCTACATCTCAGTGCTTTAGTAACTGTATTTTTATATATAATATTCTAAACAATAACACCATTATAATATGAATTTGTTGTGAGTGAAAACCCAAGAAATTGTCACATAGAACAGGTTATGCATTTCCCTTCTCATGGTAGAGTAATTGTGGGAACTCCTTTATTTAATTATGGGTTTTTATACAGTTTGTTATAGACAAGAATGAAGAGAATACATCGGTCTAATTGTGGCAAGGTCATAGTAAGTATGCCGCTTTGGTTTCCATGTATCTCTCGTATTTGTGGATCTAAGTACTATACAGTATGTCGCCGGATCTTCTTTATAAGAGGATAAACATTTTATTGTTAATTTTTTGAGAAAAATGTATTGTTCATAATAATATTCTGCTTATTCTAAAATGGTTATTTCCGTTTATACTTTTTCAAATTTCCATACCGTTTTAGAAAAAAAAATAAAAACGCCTCTTTATGGCAAAATCAATTCGTTTCCATTATTACTAGGTATTAGTTTTGGTGAGGTGTTTGTTTTAACAACTAACGACTCAATAAGACAAGAGCACGTTTTGTAATAACTGATTATGTGTATAATGAGTCTATCTCAATGAACCATGAATAATAATTTAGTTAATACTAAAAAAAACATTCCATTCATTCTCCTCATTACACCGCCCTCCGAAAACTAATATTTTCAGTTTTTCTAGATAAATAATAATTTTTGATTATATTTCGTTTATATTATTTAATTGAAGATTATATATGTCAGTTTTTATCTATTTTTAATAACATACAGGTATATTATTTATTCTTGTAAAAGAAGCTTTTAAAAATGTAATTTACTTTTCTTACCTTGATGCTGTTCCAAAAGCTGTTGCCAAAGCTTGTCCAAGACACTTGACAAACGTGAAAGGATTTTTCTTGGTCAAGAGAAAATACAGTAATGGCAACACCACAAATCCCTGAATGAACAGACCCACTAATACTGTCATGAAATACTTGCCCAAAGAACTCATTACAGATGCTAAAATATTTGATTAAAATAAAATCTCAATTAAAAAGATATTTGATCAACTTTTAGTACCTAAGTCATCCATTTCTAATATTTCCGATGCTACCAAGAACATAATACCTATGGGAGAGAGCCGTATGACCCATGACGTAATTTTCATCATCATTGCCATAAGGTTATGGAAAAAGTTCGCTATGGTTTCAGTCTCTTTGCCACATTGGCCTAAAGCTATCCCTATTACGGTTGATGCGACTACTAAGCCGAGAATGTTTGTGGTTTGGGTAGTTTTCGTTGAAATGGAGTATGAATAAATATCTAAAATATATAACATTGATATTAATAAATGTCCAATATTCAAGGTAATAATTGTTTAATAACTTACCGGTATTATTTTCATCATCATTAGTTAATTGTGTTTGATGCTAAGTGAGAAAGAAATAGACAATATTATTTATTCAGGAAATTTTTGTTATTAACAAGAATAGTAATTTCTTTAGGAGATAAAAATTAACCTTAAAATTACTTGAACTTATTTTAATACTTACTTGAAATATACAGGCTTCAATAATATTTGGTGGAAACATGTTCCTAAAGGAAAACTAAAGTTAAATCTCTTTAAGTAAATTAAATTAATGGTACCAACCTCACGAGATCTAATAACGTGTCCACTGTCGTGGTATCACTGCTGACGGTAGAGTTTTTGAGACTTTGTCCATCGCTTCCTACTCCAGGTCTGATAGTTACCACTATAACTATTCCCAGAACGACTGCAGCGAATGTTGTGGTTAAGTAATAGGCTATGGCTCTTGCTGCCACTCTTTTGGATAATGTCAGGTCTAAGCTCGCTATAGCAGATACTAAAAGATACATGTAAACATTATGACATGATGTAATGATTTTTGATATTTCTTTTCTTTTTGGTAAAAAATAACCAATATCAGTTGAACTGAATTTACCGTACACGTTGTTCTATACAAAAATATCCCGTACACCAGAAAACATGCAAAGATCGTTAATATAGAAGTTTGCGTCTTGTTGAACATTATAACGTAATGTTTCAAAATCTACAGAAAAAAAACGATTACTTACTACTAACTATTTTATTTTTATTTTTTTTTCTGATTCTATTTTAAAAGGGGATAATAAAAATTGCATATTCTTGTTGCTGCTTCTTCTGCTCTACAAGTTGATGTTATTAGATTTTTAATCGGATGTTTCGTTTCCATCATAATTTAATTAATACCATCATTAATTTAATTTTTTAGGGACCTAGATTTTTTATTTCCAGTTCTAAAAGGTTAGGACCTCTTAAATGCACTGTATATGACACCTAAAAAAATTGTATACATAGTTCTGGAGACATACTGTAGTATGTTTCCGTATCGTCTTTCCAAGAGAAACAAACTGTACTATTAACATTTTGGGAATCATGCATTGTTCATAATAGTTCGTTCATTGTTCATCAGTGTTCTAAAATAGCTAATCCGATTTCTACTTTTCCACATTTTTATACCGTTATATTTAGTTAGAAAGTTTAAAGTCCTAAAAGTTAAAAGGTGTCTCTATGGTAATATAATTTAATTTTCATTCTTTGAGAGGTTGTAGAATGTTTAGGAGGGGATTAATCACCGCAAACTTGCAGATTTATTGTGTGTTCCCTTTTCCCCTTTCTTGAGTCATGGCGACTTATAACTCATCATACAGTCTCAGAGTTTTGACAAAAGCCAGTATCGGAAACGACTCCATAGATGCCTGCTCTCCATCTTCGACATCAGCCGTACCAAAGTTGACGAAAAATTGTTCGTTCCTTTTCTAGCTAGAACGTTTGCTTTTTCATTGCTTTCTATCCCTTAGTTAGCGGGCACCCGGAGTAAGAGGACTTTATTTTCTTTGCCTAATTGTGCCAATGTGCCCTTTGGTTCGGAGTGTTTAGTTTTCGACCCAAATACTCTTATTCCTGTCCCTGCTTTAGTTTTGGTAGCATCAGTATACCACGTTATGGTATGGTCTTTTACATGCTGAGCAAACGTTTCTTTCTTCCATTCCTTTTTATTGCTCAATACTACAGTGAAGTGTTTCTGAAAGTTGTACATTCTTGGTATGTCATCCACTGGGAGTTGAGGAGTGGGAAGAATTTTCTTTTTGAGGGTGTTCCAAGCCCTGACCTGAAAATTCTCTCAGTACTGTTTTGGCTACTACGTCTACATTGGCATAACTACCGACGACAATCTTCGAGAGACGATTATTATTAATTTTGATTTTGACGTAATATTTTTTAGCATCGATTTTAAGAACCACACGATTTATTTAGTGCAATGCAACGAAAATATGATATTGGTTATTGTCGTGTTGTTTATGAATTTAATGAAAAATATAATTTTCCTATATCAAGAGTCGCTAAAGAAAAAAGGGACTGGTGAAGTGAGGAGAAAGAATCGAATAAATTTTTGGTATTTTTGGGGTTTATTGTTATTTAAATTAGTATTCATGTTTTTGTTCATGATTTTTTCGAATACATGCGATACATAATTGTTTTTGGAGCTTCAGAAGCTCTTAAAATCCTTTATTATGGACTTTAAGCGCTTTTTTTAAAAGCTAAATCCAGGGCAGTATTTGAAAAAAAATAATCGCAACTCAAAGACAAAATATCGGTTAAAAAATGTGATAACGCCATCTTGTAGAACAAAATAAGGTGCAATCGAAATGTGAAATTTGTTTTGTTTTTGGGCAAATTGCGTAATTTTACATGCTTGTATGTATTTTGATAGAATCCTTACCTAAACATGAGATAATAAGAGGAATAATTAGAGATTTAAGCATTCTCAAGAATACATCTCCAACAAATCCCACATACATGATTTCTCTCTCCGTCCAATCATCTTTTACTCCCCTTAGAATAAAACCTAGAGCTGCTCCAATAACTACTCCTCCAAACGTGGCCAATGTCAGGAAGTTCGACTTGAAAAAGTGGACAACCTTGTTTTTCGGTGGCGGTTCTTCGACTGCATCGAAATTATGATGCATTATATGAGGAAACTAATCTGAAAATAAAAGAGTCAAGTAAATATACTTTTTGTAATCAAATTACGGAAGTAGTTTCTAAATTAAGCAAACTCGGGGTAGTTACACAATTTGTAACTCAAGAACGGCGATTTGCTTTGAAACTCCGCCATCTGCCGCAATTGATAGCACACGAGGTCAAATGGTTTAATTTTAATATTTGTGGTCTACAGCAAATCAGTGACATCCTCTAAACATTCTAGAATAGAAATTCAACGTAAAATAGCATATTCAAATCCAGAATCTTACTAAATATTGAAAATATTTGAATCAAACTGGCAACTGTCAAATTATTTTGTACTAATCATTCCAGATCTTTCATTCAAAAATAAGTTTAAATCTTTGGTAACATATTTATTTCTACATAATATGCCCTTAATAGATGTAAACGCTTTAAAAAGAACGTCAAACAGGATAATTGAGATGATTCACTTAATTACGACCCTCACTGAAATAATTCCGTTATTACAGGGAATGACTGATATACACAATCAAACCATGCGCCAATTGAAGAGTTTCGCTCTTTTCTGGCAATACGTAAAACGACTAGACATTTCAGGGAATTACGGATTGCAATATAATGTATAACGCCGACATATGCAAATATATTGCTCAGACATTAGCGGATGTTAGTGATATAATATGGCTATTGCTTCTTTATTTTTGTACACGAATAACACCACTTAACATAAATTTTAGTTAAAAAAATAATCATATACAGAAATGTTGAGCTTTTTATAGCCAACGTGTCAATTGAGATTATTACAAACAGGTTTCAAAAAAAGATTTACAGGGATTCCCTCGTTTGACAAACTTGCCTGATCAGGAAACGGTTATTAGGTAGAATGAATGTAAAATCAGTGGGAGAGGGATTAATCACTGCGACCTTAAAGATCTATTGTGTCCCCCTTCCTTGAGTTGTCATATTAGGTAGAATCAAATTGTTAATCTGTATCTCTATGTAATATCTGATTATCAGAACGACAACGGGTTTAAAAGACGTTTCAGCTCAAAATCTGAACTATTTACTTGCAATTATACTTTTTACATTTTAGATTTTCTTTATTTTTGTTTAATTCTGATGACGGGGGAAGATTCACTCTGAAACGTGAAGATTTTTTTTGTTGGTAAGACGATTTTTTACGAGCAAAAAGCCACTTATAACGTAGTTTCCGTTTGGTTTCTAATCCAGTGGAATTTTACAAAAAGTATTTTTTCAAATTTTTGTCTCAATATAAAAATACTAAAAATTTAATGAGATTAAAGTTTATAAAATTGATGGTATAACCTTTGGTAATTTTTCAATGAAACTTTGCTTCCAATTAGGGTTTCTAAACCGGGATCCCGGAAATGTCGAAAAATGTAAATATCCAATCTAAAATAATTCGACTTTATACACTTTAGTATTTTAAAGATTATATTTTATTTATACTAAGCAGAACGTCAATATCTGTCAATATCTAAAAGTTGTCTTTACTCAGCTTACTACTACAAATGACAAGAAAGCTACTGCGTCAAAGAAGAAATCACCAATAACACTACCGATCCACTACTGAGTTTACCAGAATGCAACGTACGTTGCCTAGATTCAGCAGGTCTATGGCCCAAACCCACTGGAAACGTCAGCATTTTAAATTTAACCGAAATAAATTCCAGTAACTTCATATTCAGTCCATTTCCAAATTCTTCGATAACTGACTTGGTTAATAAGAGCATCGACATATTTCGTTATCAAATCAACGAACTGAAACCTTGTAGATTCTTTCTCAAAAATCAACAAGTTCAAACTTAATTTCAGTAAATATAACTTTGAATATCTCAGATGTTGAATCAAATACTCCAAAAATTGATACATGAAAATTACAATCTTACTGCTGTGTTTGATGAAGAAAATAATGTTATTCAAGTAACCGTAAATTCAACAACATATTTCGGAGCTAGACATGGACTTGAGACTCTTACCCAGCTTGTAGTTTTTGATGATATAAGAAACAGAATTCTTCTACCCAGCAATATTAGTATTTCTGATGGGTCCAAATATAAATGGAGAGGAATAGTATTAGACACCTCCAGAAACTTCATAACACCCAAAGCTATTAAAAGAACCCTCAAAGGCATGGCTGCTTCGAAGTTAAATACATTTCACTGGCATATTACTGACACAGCAAGCTTTCCATATGTATCTCAATCCAGGCCTGAGCTTTTTGAAGCTGGTGCGTACAGCGCGAAGAAAACTTATGATGACCAAACTGTAAGAGATACTGTTGAGTATGGTAGGGTGAGGGGTATAAAGGTTGTTCCTGAATTGGATGCACCAGCTCATGTAGGGGAAGGATGGCAGAATACCGGGGTATTGACGTGTTTCAACTGGATACCTTGGGGTTCATACTGTAACAACATACGCTCTATTTTATTTTGATTTGCAACAAGAATTGTATTTTTTACTTTTTTTTTGTTTTGTCCATTTTAATAAAGCTCTTTCCTCATTTTCTTTTTGATTATGTACCTGCATTTTTACTAAGTATTTATTTAGATTAAATTTCTCATTCTGATAATGAACCCGGAATCCCGGGATTCCGATCCCGAAAATTGGAAACCGTACTTCCAACATGACACGGTATGTCAAGCAAATACCTAACAAATCAAAAAAATCAGCGTCCCACAACTATTTCAAGGTAATATTTTACTATCTTGTGTACAAATCAGTTTTAGTGCTATTAAATACCTATATTGATTTTTAATCCTTCTAATTCGTGATAAGATGGGAAATTAGACTAATAAATAAATCTATTCTGTTGAAGATTTTCCGTCGATAAGGAACACTTTTATACGAAATCAAATTTAAGGATGTAGATGTAGATTGTTTAAAGCAAAACAGAGATTTTTTTTTGTTAAAATAAACAAACTTTTATCATTTATTGCAGTCGTATAAATTTTACGAAATTATTTATAACTCTATTAACAACAAAATCTCATAGTATTAATTTTGTTTTCATATTGCTGTTTTTCTTTTATGTGTGAGGAAAATCAGCATCATAAAATGTAACATGTAATCAAAAATATTATTAAAAGTACTTTAGATTAGATTAGGTTTTTGAAGTGGCTATAGGCCTGCTCCACCGGGGCCTTTTCACATCTATTTTGGTGCTCTTCTGATCCCTGGGTTAAATTCTCCAGTCCTATCTCAAGCAGATAAATCTCTGCTTGTGGAGCATTGCAGCCATTCGATAGCCTTAGAGATCGTCGGAGGCCTAGTTCTTCTGGGAAGATGCCTATACCTGTGCCTTCTGAAATCACGAAAGCATCTGTGTAGACTGCTATCTCTTGAGTATTCATTACTAGGTTGCTTTCCCATTCTTCTTTTGTCGGGATGCAAATCTTTATCTTTTCTAAAAAATCTAGCAAAGAAAAAAATGCTTAACGTTTCGGAAAGTTTCTTTTTTGGTTTTGCCTTATTAAAGTAATTGTTATCAGGTAGTAATTGTTAATTTTGAAGTTTAACTTGATATAATAGGTTTGTTCCAACCCGCCGCAGAACCGTTACCGAACGATCACGCTCGTGCTCAGTAATTCAAATGTGTTCCAACCGAGATTTGACGGTTATCGGACGTTCCTATTTGCGTACCAACCTACCTTGGGATCGTTTAGTTACGATTTCAGAACGGTAATTTCGGTACATGGTCCAAATTGAGAACTGTGTGGGTTGACTTGCGCATTAAAGCATATTGGCAAGGATTATCGATTTTTAACAGCCGGTTCGGCGTCCGGCTCATGCTTCTCTATTGGTTATTTTTTACGAATTCGAATACGTGTGCGTTATACCCTTGTTATACTTTTGCTTGTGAGGTTGTATGGAGTAAATCGTTTGGAAATTTTAAGTTGTACACTTTCATAATTATCTATAGATAATAATTAAGGATGAGTGGCGATGGTATGACCGATTTCTTTACCTCCACTTCAGATAGTGACAATTTGGAGTTGCTGCCTGTGAAAGGGTGAAAAATGAGCAATATTTAGGTAAGCTTTAATCGCATTTTCTTGTTTCCTCGAACAAAAACCAAAAACCGATCGATACACGCACGCGTGACATTTTGACAGTCCCGAAAACAATCCACAAAGCGTTCCAACGTTGATACTTTTTGCTCCGTCACGAAACTATTCGAAGTCCGCGCATGCTAACAAAGTGCAAGAAAACCGATTCGAGTACGATTTCGAAACAATCCCGAAATGCTGGTTGGAACAAACCTAATGTCATTTTAACAGAACGTCAACGGTTTCTTGTAGACGTATCTGTTTTAAAAAAGTAAAGTGTTCTCGAATAGTTGAATTTAAATATTTTAAATAGTTTTTTTTCTTTATTTTTGTATTTTTTTGCTTCCGACGACGGAAAGAGATAAACTTTCCGAAACGTTAAGCATTTTTTTCTTTGTTAGGCAAATTTGTATAACTGCAAACATAACTTCTGACAAGCAGTGTCCGTTTAGGTTTAACGCAGAAATGTTTACAAAAAATAATTATTTTATTTTGTAGATTTTCTTGCAGTGCAGTGGCGAAATACTCATAAAGGATTTTCTTATCTTTTCTCCAAAAACCATGTTTGGTGAGCATACATGGTGTTCCTTAATGACATCCTAATATTTAAGGGGGTGATTCTTAGACCATAACATAGTATTATTCGACAAATTTTTGGAATATTTTCTTTTCTGTACAAACGAGTGGGAGTAGCGAAAGACACAGATTAACAATTTTTTAAAGCACTGTGGCGATAGACGAAAGTTTTTTAGATTTTGAGTTTGGTGTAAAAAAGAGGACTTTATGAATACGTGAGAGAAAAGAGATAAAAAAGAGGACTGTCCTTTGGAATAGAGGACGGTTGGCAACCCTAAACATCAGAGATATTTTGAAAAAAAAAATAGAAAATTTTACCACCCTGTATCTGAAAAGTTATGATGTTTAGGTTTATATGATTTTTTTTCTTAGA